GGCACTTGTCTAATTAGCTTCCTCCAGATCATCTCCCCTGTTTGTGTCCTAATTAGCTGCTAAGGCCCAGTGGGCCCCATTCAGCCCGCTCAGGGACAATGTGTGGAGTACACACCCTCAGACTGCTACTCACAGGGCAGGTCACCCCTCACATAGCTGAGCCCACAGGCCTTCCCTCTCCTGCTTTATATCACCTACCCAGAGGAGTAGGTCCCCTTCTCCAGCTCATCGACCCTGTTTGTGTCCTAATTAGCTGCTGAGGCCTAGTGGACCCCATTCAGCCCGCTCAGGACCAGTGTGGGGAGTGCACCTCATCGCAGCCAGTCTCCCCAAAAACCTGGGAAACTATCTATACCCCCAGGGCACCTTTGGGGGCAGTATTTCCTTACTCACAAGCACTGAGTCCAGGGATTTAAAACAAAGAGACATTTTAGGGGGAATAACAGGAGGGGCAACAGAATGAATGTGGGAAAAGCAGCAATTAATAAATTAGCAATATTAGGTAAACTCTCCATCCTACTGCAGGGCATCTGAACAATAATCCCAACCTGAGTCCTCTGGCACTTGTGCGTGGTCGATGTGTTCTGGCCAGTTCCCTCTACCCCAGCTCCCTTGCTCACAGATTGTTGGCCTGGGTTGGTGAAGATGAAGGAATATAACAGGGCAGTGCTCACGGGCTGCTTCAGGGGCTCTTCCACCTGTCCCATCGGGAGTGATTTCAGCTTCAATTGCTTACTAGGAAAGCCCACATTCCCATGCCTTAGTTAGGGTACTGCTCTCCCTATGGCTTCAGTCTAGCCCTGCCCCACCCAGCTGGCCACCCCCAGCCACACCCACACCAGCTTTGTACCTTTGTTTTGCAGCAGGCTTAGCTCCTCAGAAAACAAACAACAGCTGATCCCCCACAGATGCAGTAGCACCAGCCAGCTACTCTCACCCACTACTAAAAACCTCTTCACTTTCCCTCTTCTCTCTTGGCCCTTTCCAGGCTCCCTCTTACCCCAGTGGTTCTCAACCAGGAGTCTGGGCCCCCTGGGGTTCCCTAAGCAGCTTTCAGGGGGTCAACCAAGCAGGGCCATCCTTAGGGCACGTCTTCACTACCCGCCGGATCGGTGGGTAGCAATCGATCTATTGGGGATCGACTTATCGCGTCTAGTGAAGACGCAATAAAATTGATCCCCGATGGCTCTGCCGTCGACTCCGGAAATCCACCGCGGCAAGAGGCGGAAGTGGAGTCGAC